TAATGTGTATTTCCTTCCGTATCCCACTGCCTTATTGGGCATTTATATAAGTTTCTTTTTCTATGGTCAAGTAAGAATCAATATTAAAGTGATCGCGTACCGAATCGAACAAAGCGACGGGCGTCAGCGTGTCGATTACGTGAAATAATAAGAATGCTGAAAAGCTACATTCAAAGAGTCAGGTATTAAATAAATCCGGTTTAATCCAGTTATCACTTAACACACGTCGAAACCGCGTAATCGGACGGGAAGTCGCCATATGCACGGAATCGCTTGTCGAGCCTTCCGCACTGTTGCCTTTGTCCACTCATTATCCTATACGTTCAGCGTCAATTAAAACCCGACCTTTACGCCATCGCATAAAACACAAAATCCAAAACTAAAAATTAATTCACATTGCACAGCTCTGTATTACGTCAAACTAAAATCAATTCTATTTCACGTGCTTAAAGCTCTTTTAAGAAACACTAAATGTTTCAGGTGACAATTCGAAATGCTTTCCATGTACAAAACAGTGATTTAGAGAGTAGTCGCCGCTTTCATAAAATCAATCAAATGAGAATTTCCGCTACTGTCCCCGCCAGCTACGCTACCAGCAATTACACAAACCATTCTAAGGGAATTCAAAAGCAAAGAGGTATTGTAAATAGGTTTCTAGTAGATACAACTCGCACTTCTAAGTTTAGTTTTCGAACGACTTCTACGTAAAAATCTGCTTCGTCAGTACCATTCTCTAGTCATTGTGCACCTGCCACTCTGGTGATAATTAATTATCCCCCACTTCTCCCCAAGCCACCCCCTACCTTGTGTCATGTCAAGGTAGCGTATTGTTTCGGGCAGCTGAATGGATCCGCACTTGATACGTAACGACGAGTTTAACTGAGCGTTTTAACGAAGGTTTACCTACCGTGAAGGATTCAACAGTTTATTGACGGTTCTCGCTGCAAAATCTCTAATGTAGGGTCCAACTTGAGTATATGACTGAATCTACTACATATCCGGCCTATATTTTCTTTCCCGATGAAGCAGTAAAAAATTACCTAGACCGGTCGAATTCGAGTACGCGTAATATTCGACCGACACGGTAAGACACAAACGAAGTTCTCATATAAATTTATTTTTCTGAAATACTTAAGATTTTGTTAAGAAAAATTGGATATTAAACGGTAGTGGTAGGAATTTCGCAACTCCGTTCGGAGCATCGTCCACAGAAGGAAAATCCGTGAAGTGTGTATTCTGCGTTCGGTTTCAGTCTATAGATTTCCGAATGTTCAAAGCCAAAGTAGTCGCACGTCTTCTTATATGACTGGGGTATTTCGCCTTTCATCGAGTGGACACCGTACTTGTTCTTTGTCCTAACATAAAGACAACGGTTTTTCGCAAAAAAAATATTCATATAACCTAACGATTACGAAATATAGCTCAGTAAAACCGGCTCCCGAAGGTGCCTCATTGATTAACGACCTCCCTGACGTGTTTATTGTTGCGACTAGCAAGTCATCCAGTCAGTCAGTCAGAGGCCCGTTTCGTAAAGCGACAATATTATAACTCTAAGCGTGGATATATTATAGTTACTTTACATTACGTTAGTATATATATCTAGTAGATATACAAATGTACAAGTTGTCAATAATTGGACATATCATGCCTGAAAAATTACGTAGTAGGTACTTTCAGCGTTATCAAAATGCATCTCAGCAAAATATCTATGTAAGCAGAGAGATTTTTTTAAATGAATACAACAGAATCTGACAACTAAGAACGTCCTACTCGTATAAGCAACGCGGATGTCTCCGAAGTTCGCTAAGCACCTCATTAAAGTTCACCTCAGAACTCGGCGAGACCCGTCATCTGTCTCCCACACTGACTTATAAATGTTAGTACACTCTTACGTTATTCTGCTATTAATTCAATCTAATATCGAACTATGTATTTTATTACTTTCCTCCATTTGAAGAACACGTTAAGACCGTTGTTCGCTTTAAGGCAAGGGTCGTACGATAAAGGTACTAATGCATAGTTAAAGAAAGTGTGTTCGCATAACGGTGCCAGTTCGCGTAAACAGCTGAAGGTCGAGCAATTAAACACTTGGACCTTTTGCGAACTATGCGAATTTAGGTTCTTGATATGTGTGGGGCTACTAAACACGCGGTTCATATTCACACGTTGTTTTATTTATTTAACTATATTTAAAATTCATCCACCTTTGTAATGTATGCGCCATCTATCTTCCAAGTTCCAACACTTTTTGTGTTTTTGGGCTGTTAGTCCGGTGGCGTTTTGTATCAAGAGTATAAACTAAATGATATAGGCGTTAAAACTTCCAGGACAATAAAGAAAATTATTTACTGCAAGGCAATGGTTGGGCCTTATCCATTGTAAAAACTGTAATTAATCCAGCATTAAGGGTAAAATTATGTTCCGCAGCCTGATGTGATAAATATCAATTTTAATGTTTCCTCAAGACAATGCGTGATTTTCGTGGCCCACCATGGCTTCTTAATATTAACTTTTGTCAAGGTATTTACCGTCCCGAGGGCTTGATGTAATGTTACGGAGATATTTGCACAACCTTTGTCTCTCCGACAACTCTATTTGTTACAACTTCTTACACAACTCGGTTCATTTATTCCCGTTATTAAACATTTAATGAATACAATTAAATGCGTAACATATATATTATATTTCTCATAGTAAAATAGAATTTTAGTCTACGTTCATAGAACCTGAGATATTTTTGTTGTTCACGATAAGTAATAAAGCAACGAAAAACAGTGATTACGCCTGAACATTATAAAAACAAGTGCAGTTGAAACTATAAGCGCCATAAAACCTTTTCATTGTCGATGCATTTGTTTCGGCTGCCAAAAGTCACCATTACACGGAGGTAACTTGCTTTGCGCCAACATACTCTAGCTGTAAGGTTCGCACCCATCACACTGTAACCGCCAATATTATCCTATAAATTAAAACTGAAGCTGATGCGTCTCTTTAACTGAAATCCGAGCGTAGGTACTATATCTTAAGGGAGTAATTGAAAATATCATCACAAAAACAGGGTAGGAAAGATAATCAACTTTCAACTGATAAAAAAGGCAAGCTTTTTGAAGGTGCGCGCGAGCAACCGTTAGCAAAGTCAATTTGTAATAAAATAAATCATTCACATGGTAAACACTTAGTAAACCGTAAGTATATATATAATGAAGGGATATTTCCTCGGGAGATTCAAATGCGAGCATAAATTTGTTGTAAGTTCTAGTCAAATGGGGTGGCACCTTTCACGATCTTAATTGTGCACGAAAGAATCCTTGACATAGAATACGTTTTAAGATTTAATATGCTCTTGGCGAGTTATACTGCTTGGCATTGCCTGGATTGGCCTTCTCCGCCATTCGCCGAAGACAACAGGCAATTTGAGCGAAGTTTAGATTAAAACTGAGCCGCTCTGTGATAGTAGTCATTGTATTTGTCTAAGTACGATGTATGGAGACAAATGTTTCAACCCAACTGGGCTATACGCAGATATACAAACTATAGGATTGATTCAAAAGAAGTAAATAAATCCGAGCATTTTCGGAATACGAAGCGGGAAGGAGACGTGACGTAAAGAAAGCAATTTTTTAAAGGTATCGCGCATATCCGTCCGAATGGCACTTTTAAATCAGGGATCCGTATATTTATTTACTAACACGCGACAATTTACATACAAGAACCAATTCAATTCCAGCGCACCGCGTTCGCAGGGATTAAGGCTTTCACAGCTTGCGCATCCACAGTTAGGAATAATTAGTTTCCACAAGACGTCTAAGTAGTATCTACGAATACTTAGCAACGATCCGTATTAAGGTTAACAGAATAAAAACCTCGACCGCTATGTCCTCCTTATAAACTTGTTTTGGATTGCTTTGAGAAGAAAGGTATTTAACTTTCTTAAGTAAGACTCTTCACATTTCGCATTTATACTCTGCCTATATTAATTCTTACATAATGTTTAGCAGTTTAAAATGTATTCATGACTAAATATGTTACACACTGTGGTAATATCCGCGCCTCCCCCTCCCTCATTGAAGACCATCTCCGCATAATCCTTATAAATCCACTTTATATTCATCCACCTTAAAGGCCGCAATAAAAGTATCTAGAGTACACAAATTTTTTCTACGTGATCTTGTACTCAAAGGGCTTATTTGAAAATGGGCTCTTATCGTATTAAAACAGTTACGCAATAAAAACCTTCAAGAATTGATTACTGAAAATATTGAATGTGTCTACGCGTACATTGTACCTTGTGATTAGTGTCAAACCCAAGATCGTAGAAACTAAACCACCTTATTCAATGGATCTAAGATGATAGCATAATGTCATTATGCAGGTTTAGTCCGCAAAGTGAGTTAGCGTGAAGAGGCGAGTTGTTCGCATAGATTGGGATATGATCGAGTTAGCAACGCCTAGTTTGGCTTCACCGAAGTTTCCGAGATTACAGCTTTCAGGCTCACGGTATGATCAATAAACTATAGATAGAAGTAATGGATATTAGCACAGAGAGGCCGTGGTACCACATTAGACTTTCGCAGTCACGCCACAAACCCTAAGTTTAGCTCGCTGGGCAATAACATAAGTATGTTTGACTTCTATTTTTTTCACACCCCTAAATAATAAACACAGGCATAATGAAGGTATAAAATAAAGCAATCCAATTCAGTTCCCCCACATAAAGTTGAATTCGCTCTAAAAAAGTTATCGTCCATTCTGGCGACATTACCATGAATTATGTAGCACTGTTAATCTGTCTATCACTCCTCATCTCAATTACGACTAATTGAATATTAAGATTCTAACGATTGTTCGTAAAACCGACCCCGGGGACCACTGCGGAGTGGATGGACCATAAATATCCGCAAATATAATCAATTATAACACTTCCTTTCACGAGCGAAACAATTGTATGTTAGTTAATAAAGTAGATACCCCTACTGATTTCGTACAGTAGAATTTCAACAATGATTTGGAAGGGGAATGACGAAAATAAAATAGCATTTGAAAGGCTAAAAGCTAATAAAATGCGAATATTGGCAATAGATTCGTACGTGTCTACAGAGTGGCAATGAAGGAAGACATGTAAAATAATTATTGACGATAAAAATGCGATATCGCAGCATACGTCGTAAATGTACCGTCGTTCCATACATTGAAGGTAGTCGGGTCTTTTAAATGATATTTATTGTTCAATAACATTCGATTTGGTAAATAAATAGAATTATCAATATTTATTTACAAATTACTACTAATTCGAAGAAACAAATAAGTTGATGCCTAGGTGATTTAACTGGTCTTATTATCTGTCTTACATATAATTTCCCAGTCTATATAGTCATAAATCTGTCTCCCACTAAAGCATTAACACCTGTAAGCGCTATGTGTTACACCGATCACCATAAACCAATCGGCTACTTCGATCAATCTGCCCACTCGCTAATGACTAATTACCCTTGTACAATCTCTACCACAATGTACCGATACATTCCAGAGCGTCGGCTAAACGGCACGGCAATCTCGACCTTACTGCTTCTTCTTACGAAGATCTAGGTATGCTCATTAAATATTTGTTATGTACGTAGTCCTAGCGATGTGCGCTCTAATGCCTTGACTCAAGGTTCGATTTCGCTCGGTGCAAGTTTGTAAGATCGGCGAGTAATGAGTTGAGTGCTATTCAGATGTCGTTATGTTTGTTCATGATCTTCTGCGGGAGCGGCTGCATTGTGTTTCTTTCTTTGCCGTTTCATTGTGGCTTTTATAGATCTTTTCATATCTGCTTTCATAATCAAATGTCTTCATTTTGTTTATGAAATTGTTAAGTTAGAATGAAGAATATATTTCTCTTTTGCGCGCTATAAAAGATAATTTGATTGTTATTGCTGTTAAGTGCTATCATGAAATGATCGTACTGAGATACGTACAAATTCTTCAATCTTTGGCTATTCAGATATGTATGAGTTCTCACACAATATCTTCCCAATCGATAGGCCTCTATGGCCAGAGATATGATTGGTCCATTTATCGAAACGGTGCGATTAATAACGTCGTAAAACGAATCGTGGAGTTGTAACGACTTCTCGGCCTAAGGTGTTTGTTTACGACTTGCGTTGGTAATAGCGAAAGATATTTGTCGATTTTACCCCTAAGGTGATGTTTCCGACGAACTAACAATCAATTCATATCAAAAGTTTGGTTTATCGGAACACTAACAAATATTACCACACTAAGTTATTATATTGACACACTTAGAGGGATTAACTAATACCATTTCAAATTTCCAAGGCAGGTTAAATGAAAAAAAAAAGACCCTAATGGATTTCACAGATCATGAGATTATAACTAACAACAGCTCTGCCCTACATCTCTTCTTGATAGATGTGCTCATTGTAAGTAGGTATATAATAAGTGGAATCTATACGTATGCATGTTCTTTGTAAAGCTTACAAGATCCGATCGACTCTGATGAACAGGCTCGCATCTAGCAAGCCATCCGATCATTAATTACCATGCTATAACTGCGACAGGCCGGCGACTGCCGTAACTACTACTTTTAATGTGCATTGGCCCTCTGCGAGGCCCTTAAGAGGCGATGTGTTGTAAAGGGTGCTTACGATTCGCTCGCAAACATATCTATAAAAAGACATTCTAGGTTTTAATAATGCTAAAAGCCGTTTAAAAATGTGTGAGAATAAAAACACCTACAAATATATCGAGCCCGGAAGGTACCGAAAACGAGCAAATAAAAATGCCACATCACGTCGAGTTGTTTTTTAGGGCGGCCCCTGGACAGTAGGTAATCCAGGATAAGCTGTATTGATAACTATCATGTCCGAACGTTAGTCACGGCTTCCGGCCGCGCGGGGGGCAACAAAACAACTTACCTTTCATTTTGTGCCAAGCTGTATGTTGATACTCATATTAAATGAAATATTCTGTATTATTTACAGGAGAGCATAAAAACTATCCTTTGCAATTCCTCGAAGAACACTAAATGAACGATGTACATACATATATTTAGCACAAACAGAATAGAAGCAATGATGCACATATTACCGGATTTACAATTCTCAAAAATATATTTACCGTGAAGATCTTCTCCGCGTTTAAGTCATTTGCATTGGAAGCTCCTCTTGCCAATTACAAGTCTAAAATAAGCTACAATAGTCGCAGTATTTATACCACTCTTGTCACCTGTTTCAGTAAACTAGAACGCAAATGAATGGCGCCCATACATTACAAACAATATTATGTCTCGGCTAAATAAATCTCCACAATGACGCAACGCAGATCGTGCACACGGACGTACTCTCATGAACGAGATGATTCTTTTAACAGTGCCTTGATTCAGATGCTTTCTATATTTCCCACCTGAGTAGTAGCGATAATACAGGCAGGTAGTCGAGTGCTTGTAAAGCTGAAGAATTTAGAACCTGAAAAATTATTCGTCTTTAAGGACCGTTGCGTGAGCTGCGAAAACGATTCAAGAAACCAAAAAATATGTAAGTGATCTAAAAAAAATGTCCGCGACAGTATTCTCTATATAACTTTAAGATTATATTACACATTTTTATTGCGAGAAGGGGTTTGTAAGGGGTTAAAAGGGGGGTTTCTATGTATGAAAGTTTGTATGGAAATTCATGGTTTTTGAAACTAGAACAATGAAACTTTCTTCTTTGGCTTTTTGGGAATAAGAGTGAAAGTGAGAGTGGGACTTGGAGTAGGAGTGATGTGAGGTGAGAGTGTTGCGGCAAAGTAGCACTTACCATAGATTGGCTGCCTTAAATGCGCCCTTACATAAATTCATAAACAGCCTCAATAATTAAAAATTCTACCCCAAGTCACTATTCCAGGCGGACGAAGTCGCGGGTAGGTACAGCTAGTAATTTATAAAGCCGCGGAGGTCGTTTGCAAATATGAATAAGTATGTATAAGTATTCCGCGCGGCACAGTCACAGCTAGTAAAGTATATTTCGGTAGTTGTAGAAGGATAGCCAGTGGAACACTAGCGATTCCATTAATTAAAGCGACACGTGTTCGTCCCGTGTGTGGCCACTCCGACGTGTCACATGTACGTTTGTGCGCAATATATCCCCTGATGAAGGTGTAAGAAACGAAGCCCGCGTCTCCAGCGAGCCGTTGTTTCTTACTGCGCTAACTCAATTACCGGCGACAGCTCCGCCTCGCGATAAATGCGTCCGCTTCTCATGCGGTCCAAGTTATAGGAAGATGGGCGAACAAGAATGCGACAGCCCTCGTACCATACTGCCTCAATACCTGGCGAGTCGTTTTACTCCTTAGCGTTATACTATCCTCGTAATCGAGCCAGCTGGTTACTAAATCTCTTTTCGCATTTTCTCTCTTATAATTTAACCCTACAAGTGGGAAAACAGCACCTAACTATCTTTAGTTATCATTAGTTTTCACTATTCATTTACTTAAGGACCAAGCCCGCGACCTCCTACTCCTCGGCGTCAAGCCGCAAAGCGTTTGCGGGCGACATAACTCATACGGCATACCCTCGCACCTCGCAGTCGGATAAGTTGCAAACTTTGATATATTACGCCTCTCCACCTGAAATGGCCCTGAGCCGGGACATTGATTATAATAACTTTAGAAACGTCTAACCCGACCATTAATCTGGCGTGCTCAATTTAAGTTCTGCTCCTAACATTGTTATTTACATAACATTTATATTAATGAGCATGGCCCATTAGTCTTAACAATAATATCACGTCGCAAAGGAATCGTCTTAAGAATTAAAATACCTAAAATCTGTCCGAAGAATTGTTACAATTCAAATTTAATTAAATACTTTATTATATATCTTAAAGCAATAACAGCATTGATTCCCACAAAAACACTAATTATTATCGCGATAACAACTTGAACTCGTATCTTAAAACTACTTTCACTCAATTTCAAACATGTTTCTCGCTCACGAATATATTTTTTGTAACTGTGACTATCGTTTCCGTGGTGTAGCGGTTATCACATCTGCCTAACACGCAGAAGGCCCCCGGTTCGATCCCGGGCGGAAACATTTTTGCAGTTTTTTTTATTGTTTATTGAACATTTCTTTATATAAATTTTATGCTTTTATGCTTTTATGACGCAACAATGAAATATAAAAAGGTAAGATAGGCTAAACAGTAGTCTAAGACACTTCCCATTAGCAGACAATAATCTCGATATGGTCCTCACAGAATCAGATAAGCGAGTCGTACGTCATCATTAGAGCACCTCCCCGTGCGATAACAGTTAATTGGTCTTAACGACCGACCTGGCGCTTGATGCTCGTTTTATGATCTGCCAAGATGAGGGTTAAGGTTCCGAGAAGTTGACTCTGGTTATTAAGAGATTGTTTTGATCTAGAAATTTACGACTACTATTAGATGCAAGTTTGAATTATGAATTGCATTCTCTTTGTTACACCGGCATGTTATAAACCGAGGGACCTAAAGAATACGACGGCTCGAAGCGAAAATGGTCACGACTATTAATGCTCCGTAATGCGTTGCGTACTGTTCACGGCAGCCCCCGACGATCGCGCAAAATTAAAAATAAATGACTCAGAAAAATACACGAGTCCACGCTTTGATTAAATTAAGAGTAAATACCTCTGCACCTCTTCGAAGGGAGAAAATAATCTTTTCTCTTTTATTATAAAGCTGTTTCAACGCCAACGGCTTCCTTCGCAAATAAGTCGATTTGCATGAATTTTGCTTCTTCCACGGAGCAATGAGTTTCAATTATATTTTATCAACGTGTGCGAGTCTTATTATTGTTTCAAACTAGTTCATTGTTTACAATTTCTTAATTATAAAGGCAACTTTATAAATTAATCCCGTATCACCCACGTGAAACTTATCACATTTCCGTGTCCGTTACGCTCATACATTTTATTTATAGGCAAATATCACCCTGCGCTTTCTAAAGTGAGACCACATATCACATAACAATTCTAGACAGCAGGTAAATAGATTTTAAATTGTGTCTATAGTTAACTAATATATGGCGTTTTAAACCGTTAAAGTGTTTATTTAAATAGATTTTGGGAAACATATATTTTTTATTTCTTGTCTAACCCGTATAAAATTGCGTTTGAAAGTATAATTGGATACAGCAATAGTTGATGACACGACACGTAGGTAATTTGAAAGTTTCGCCATGTGCTGGTCAATTGTAAGTTCAGTAACGATAACCCTAAATCGCGGCAGTAAAACTGGCTCGCTAACGGCTAATTAGAGGGGCCCGATAGATCGCAATTTATAATAGATTGCACGCAAAATTACGCGTCTCGTGTGGTCACTATCGGATCGGATGACTGATAAAGGAGTGGTCACCCTTGCCGCGGGCTAACATTGCCCCCAAGAGGACACTTTCTTAGGATACAATGTTAGAATACTGGCAATTGTGGAGTGTGATCGGATTACTTACGCTCCGAGGAATAGAGAAGCCATTTATATTATTTTGTCACTTTAAGTGTCAATTACCATAGCAAAAGTTTGTTAAACATAAAATTTCATATGTATAATAAAAAAAGTAAACCTGAACAATAATTTTGCTCCTACAAAAGTACACAGACAAGACAATTCCCAAAATCTAATAAAAATAACATAGATTATTAGTTACACAAATGGAGAACTGTTTCCAATTCCTTCTTTAAGTTCCTAAGGCAATATTCGCAGACCTAGACAATAATAAAATGCTTAATAATGTCTCCACGTATTCCGCTATTCACTGCTCGAAGTAGAGCTTCGTGGTATCACACCCGACCGTGTTCCAATAAATCACTGATCAAATCGTACACACAATTTGCGTCTCGGTCACTCAGACCCCCGGCAACTAAGACACAGTTAGAATCCATATTGTACCTAAATGATTAATTAAGGACGAAATTCGTATTAAAGTAGGCATATACTTACTATCTACCCATGGTTGTATAACATCTATACTAACATGAAAAGCTAAAGAATTTGTTTGTTCGTTTGTTTGAACGCGGTAATCTCAGGAACTACTGGTTAGGATTAAAAAAGCTATAAAACATGACGCGGTGGCTATAATAGCAGCGAAGAAACAGCAGGAAATATGAAAAAAACGAGGAAATTATTTATCTCCGTGAGTCTCCGATTCGTACCCTGCAAAAATGTACGCACAGGATCAATTTTTTTGGTATATTGAACATATACCATAATATGTATGAAAGAATGATTCGTCTTTAAATGATCTAAAAAAAATCCGCGACACTATATAGATTAATTTACAAGAACGACGGGTCACGAGCGACGGGTCGCTGTCGTGGGTGAGAACTTAAATTTATAAAGATTATTAGATTTATAAAGATAAAAAGAAATTTGGATATCCCAAAATATCTATACTTCGCAGATGAAGACGCTGACGCTGACGCAGCGAGTGCCTTATGAGTATAAATAATGTATACGTTTTTCAAAGCTGTTCTAAATTTCATTAATTTTTTTTATTAAAATTATACTTACATAACTATACCTATTTATGGAAGATTCATAAAACTCCCACATAGAGTATTTTAGATTATTAGGAATAGGTGTGTTCTCTTGTAACTTCCTTGAAAACCAACAACTAAAAAAATTTGAGCTTTAAGATAAACGAAAATTATAACGCAATTAGTTCGGCAGTCCGTAAAGCAATAAATACACTCTCACGCAACGAACAGACGCAGGCCAGGCGTCAGAACGCGCTGCGACAGCAATAAATCCCCACTACACTTTCAAAATATCAAATGTAAATTTAACTACCTAATACGGGCCGTAGTGCGCTTTAAAATGATGTTTATTTCAGATTTCAGTGTTGTTTTTATGTCATTGTAGACAAATAAAAACGTCTGCTAGTACCGAATTATGAATCGCCTGTGATATATTGGACAAAGATTAACACACACTTAAGATAGGATTAAAATTATTAATTATGATTATAATTAATTGAAAAAAAATGGTTAACATTCAGAACATGGCAAACATTTTACTTCACAATTAATTACCTGCTCACTCATAGTTCCTTTAAAAAGATATAATTTAGCGCGTTTTCTAAGGCGGTAACTGCATGATATTTTCGCAAAGGTTTGATGAAGAATGAAAGTATTGCAATAAATAATATATATTAAAAAGGAAAACAGACAAAATCTCAATTTGAATAACGCATTAAGATCCATCCTTATCGTACAAATAAATAGCAACAATAAGAAGTCCCAGTATCACGTCTGCGACATTTTTAATCTATATACAGTGTCTGTGAGGTGGTGCATCGCAGGCAGTTTGCTTGATATAATGCACGGCGTTATAGCTGCAACCTACTTATTTATAATTGTTACTGCCACTCTCTCCCCAGACCACTCTAACTTGAAACCCAGTTCTATAACAGAAATAAGACGTGAAATAGAAAAAGTGAAATAGAATTTTAAAATAGTTTTGAGAAATATTGAAGTAAAATTATTCTTAAAGAAGCTTTCGTATTTTACGAATCGTTAGAAATAATCGGTAGGTATTTCATAGGTGTACACGATTACTAGCTTTTGCAATTTTTACACTTACGAAGAAATTTTATCATATTTCAAGATATTATATCAAATTTTGCGGCTATTAAAGTAATTACATAGAGTAGTGGCGATGGCAGGTCAAGTTACAGTTGCCAGCTCAGTCGGCACGGGTAATTTAGTTTTCTTCCATGGTGACTGCTAATGCGCCTGTTATTGTGCTTAACATTGTAGATATGAACACGCTTTGTGTTCGAAGAACTCTCAGTTACAGCCAAAGTGCTTTAAAAATTAAGAATACTAGTCCACTGTTGCCAATGCAGCAATATACAAAAGACGAACAAATGTGTGCAGCAGTGCTCGGCAATAATTCTTCCACTTCGATTGACTGGAAAAATTTACTATACTTTTTTTCTTATATCGATAATATGATTAGCACATATTGGTATCGCCTGCCGGGTTCTACCTATGTTACCTATGTTATCTTCAACATCTCAGATAAATAAATTTTGCAAATACATACTAATTATTATTTATTATACCAAGCAAAAACTTCATCTTACGTCGGATCGGACTTTCCGTGCTTTTTAATTATAGGATATTGAACTTTCGCGGGGAACTTATTAAAGCAGCGCATTAGAGTTGCGGGGAACCGATTAATTTTATTGCCTCAGCTAATTCTATCAAAGAGAGTTCCGTTTTAATAGCGCACAACAAAATAAGACCCTTAAAAACTAATGTTCAGCCTTAAGTCCACAAATACCTCTTTGTGGCTTCGAGCGCTCGGCTC